TAGGCTGGAAGCTACGCTCTCGCGTCTGCGCACGCGCCCCGCCTCTAAGCTCGAAGCTGCGCTTTCGCGTCTGCGTACGCGCTCCGCCTCTAAGCTCGAAGCTGCGTTCTCGCCTCTGCGCACGCGCCCCGCCTCTAAGCTCGAAGCTGCACTCTCACGTCAGCGCATGCGTAATCCTCGCGCTCTGATTGGTCCGTGCTTTTCCTTAATAATTCAAAAACGAAGCTTCAAATCCCATTTTTGCAAAGGGAAATCTTGTTCAGAATCACGTCAGCTATCCTTCATTTTAGGGACCTACACTAATTGTGAGACATCCTGTATGTTTAATTTTATGATACACTTTTTAAGGAATATTGAGCTAATATTTCACGTTTAAATAATTATAAGTATTCATAGGTTATGCAATCAATTTTAGAGTACATATAAAGAACATTGAACTACTATTTCTCCTTTAAATAATTATACTCCTTCATCCTTAATACAAGAACGACTAATATAAATGTCTTCAAAGTTACATTAAAACAAGTCTTCGGCCAACATCACTTTTTAGAGAATATTGAGCTAACATTTCTTGTTTAAATAGTTACAAGTATTCATAAGTTATGCAATCAAGTTTAGAATACATATAAAGAACATTGAACTACCATTTCACCTTTAAATAATTATATTCCTTCATCCCTAATATAAAAACGACTAATATAAATGTCTTCAAAGTTACATTAAACTGAGTCTTCGACTACCATATTTTTTGTTATATATAATATTCGATAATACCTTTAAAAAGAACAAACAACTCCTAAATTTAACTGTCATTGCAACAAACAAGCACCGTCGCCATTTTAGTCGGCGCGCAAATAAACGCGGGCCAATTAATAAAAATCACAGCCAGTGCCAGGCATAAAATATTCGGGAATGTCCGTGTAAACGTCGACGGTCGTGTTTTATCGTGTCGAGGGTAATAAGGGTCGGGGGCGAGATGTCGACGCGTTTGTTTAAAAATCATCGAAAAACCTGTCCGCCGGGCGAATGCTAATTTTGGTCGGTTTGTTTGCGCTCGGTTAATGAGCTTCCTGCCTCGATTTTCAACGATTTTCCGATGTTGATCGTTCCTCGTAAAAACTCTCGATGAAAATTAAAAGACGTTCCTTTGATACCCGCAATGTAAATTTTCTTGGACCTTCGGTTTTACGGTGAAATAAAAAGGGTAATAGGTTCACAACGAGATTTACGCAAAACGGGTAATCGAGAGAGGTATTGTATATACGTATTTGTATAAACTTCAAGCGTGTACTTATTAGTTGATTAAAGCGCGATTCGCTTGTAAACTAACTTCCATCAAGCTAAAAGCATGCTCCTTCGGCGTAACTTCCTCCTGTGTTGGCTTCTCGCATTTGCAGAAAGTTTCTAATTTCATGGAACTCCACATTCTGCGTCGCTGCTGCCGACAATATTTCGGTAATGAACGTTCGATAAAATTACGATTCTTGGAAAGCGGTTATTGCTCGAAATTTTATCTCCGCGAAGAAAGCTTGATGAGCTCCGCGAAATGAAGAGCCGGGAGTACCTAGAAATTTAGCATGAAAAATGAAACTTTTAATGCTTCCCGAGAAACAAGAATGGCGGTAACGACGCTACGAATGTTTCAGCGGCTGATTTACGGGCGCACAACAAGAAGATGCAGATACAGCGACAGAAATCTTTGACGGGAAAGATGGCGAGGAATCGCGACATCACGCTTACTCCTCGGGTCTTCAATTATGATAATCACCATTATCAGTATCTGAAGTACTCCAAGCGCGCTAAGGTGAGTGCAACTTAATCAAAATGGCTGCTCTCAGATTTCTTTTTTATATTAAACAAATATTTTTACCGTGTTTGATCTGAAGTACAAAACGCGTTAAGGTGAATGCAATTTATTCAATCAAAATGGCTGCTCTCAGATTTCTTTTTTATATTAAACAAATATTTTTACCGTGTTTGATCTGAAGTACACCAAACGCGCTAAGGTGAGGGCAACTTCAATCAAAATGGCTGCCTTCACATTTCGTATTTTATATTGAAACATATTTTTACCGTGTTTGTAAATATTTTGGGAGATGAAAAATGATTTTATATTTTAATAGATGTTTTAGTATTTACTTATTTATTTTCCTACTTCGTTTTTAATTTAAAACTAAATTTACATTTAACGTGGGTTCTCCTAGTTTTGAGGTTAGGAGAACCATTTTGGTTAAGACGATTTCTTGGTTAAAATTTTATTATAATTTTATTGTAGTTTTATTTATTTTTAATGTAGTTTTATAAAAATTAATTTTATAAAAAATTTTTAATATAGTTTTATAAAGATTTTAATATAGTTTTATAAAATATATTTTTGCTAAAAGTCTGTTTTTCATTTCGTTCTATTTTATTGTTCATTTATATATTTCACTGTTTTTGTATTAATATGAACAGAATGTTATGTTAAAAAATCTTTAAAAAATTCGCTAATCTGCAAACAAAGAAGTCTATGAAATTAAACAAAGAATTTCTAAAAAAAACAAAGAAGAGAAGTAACAAAGAAACTGTCTAAAAAAATGCAATTTCCCCCAAGCGCTCATAACTTAATATTTATTGTATACTCCCTAGCGCTCTTTATTGCAGCGATTTCAATTTAAATCACTGAAAACCCATATCCCCGTATCCGAGCGCAACAAAATTGAATTTTCGAAAGCCTCCGAAAATTTTAATACTGCGTCAAACATTTCGTGTAAACCGAACGTTATCGAAACAACAAGTTTTAATTAAAACATTCCAGCTTTTGATCTCCGTCGGTTAAATTGACGCGCCGATGAAAAATGATGGAAATACTAACGTGTCGAGAGATCGAGTGACCGTCTCTCTAATAACGCGATATCCTGTTAATCCTAATAAATAGCGGTCGTAACAGTCGTTATTGTACGCGCAGCACGGGGATAATTGGATTATTAGTCAATTAGGCAGAAATTATGACGTATAATCGTCTGGGAACACGACGCTGAACACCGAAGGAGGACCTTGACGTACAAACATGAAAACAGGGAACCGTGTGTCGGGAAATCAGAGATCGGGGATAGAAACAGGCTGGTGTAGTCAGCAATTTGAAATTCTGCTGAATCGAGGCTGGAAACGAGTGTATCGTGCGAATCGTTCTCGGTCGATCGAGTTTTCGAGCTTCCGAGCTCCTTGGCTGGGTTACATGACCATTCGTTTTATTACAATCACGGCAATTCTCGGTGAAAATGGAATGGAGAGTGCCTTTTCTACCTTTCTAATCTTAGATTACGGTTTGAAGAGGTGATTAATTATTTGGTTAATGTCCTTTGACATGTGGATCTACCTCTTGAACTGTGATCTTGGTAGCTGCTTAGTGTGGTACCGTCATCTCGGTCAAAGCTTATTGCAATCTTAAGATAAATAAGGAACTGTTTATGGAACTTTGATTATGTGCTATTTGTGTTAAAATTCAGAGTCGAGATGTATATACTATTTTGATTTGGTGTATCTGAAGAGTAATGTCACGTATAGTATCATATGTGAGGATCTGAAGTGTAGCTTCACATGTAATATCACATGTGATGATCTGAAGTGTAGCTTCACATGTAATATCACATATGATGATCTGAAGTGTAATATCACATGTGATGATCTGAAGTGTAGCTTCACATGTAATATCACATGTGATGATCTGAAGTGTAATATCACATGTGATGCCATATATGACGATCTGAAGTGTAGTTTCATATGTTAATACCACATGTGACGATCTGTAGTATAGTGTCACATGTAATATCACATGTGAGGATCTGAAGTGTAGTGTCATATGTAATATCACATGTGACGATCTGAAGTGTAGTGTCACATGTAATATCACATATGACGATCTGAAGTGTACTGTCATATGTAATATCACATATGACGATCTGAACTGTAGTGTCACATGTAATATCACATGTGATGATCTGAAGTGTAGTGTCTTATGTAATATCACATGTGACGACCTGAAATGTGGTGTCACATGTAATATCACATATGACGATCTTAAATGTAGCATCACATGTAATATCACATGTGACCATCTGTAGTGTGTCACATGTAACATCACATGTGACGACATAAAGTTAAGATGGTACTATTACATTATAATGTCTATAAACATTCAAGAATTTAATAATTTAAAAAATGAACAATATCCTAATTTCAAAACATAGCCTTCAAAAAATAACCCTTCAGAAAAACCTCTCCTCGAATTTGTAAAGTCATCGAACAATAAAACTTCCAAAAATCCAAAAACTTGAATAAGTAAAAAGGTGAATATAAAAAATAAACGGAATTGATGAGAACAGAATTTTTTCAAGAGTAAAAGAATCGAAGAACATTTTTCCTATGGGTATAAAAATAATACGATGATAATATTTCCGATTGATATTCAAGATAGACGGGTTTGAAAATTTCTCATCCGTCAATGGCTGTTTCCTCTTCTAATATAAGCGTTCCATCTTCCCTGCCGAAGAATATTGAATTTCCTACGTCGAAAGGATTAATAAATTCGACTGGAGCGAGATCCCCTTTCGTTTCCGTCTCAACCCCCGGGACTCACCCCCTGTTTCACGTATCGTGCTCGCGATACGTTATCACCCCGTCAGCGAAAACGTTTTCAGGAAATTACGATTCGTCCAACACGAGACATTCCAGATTTTCGATTCGAAAAGATGTATCCCTCGTGTACCGGAGTATTTATACAGACGGAAGGGCGGAAATGGGGTAAACACGAGCGGGAAACCGTATCGGAGGGTGGTGTGTTCGGTTTGTTTTTAGCTTAACAACAAAGGGTGCGCGTATCAAGTTCACGGAACGGAAGAGGGGTAAATGCAGTTGTTACGTTACTTCGGGATTGAAATCGTCTTTCGAGGGGCGCGAAATGTTTGCACGGGGGATCACGCGAAAAATGGAATAAAACGGATATTTACGATCGTTTACAATTTTTAACTTCCCCTTTTTTGTACGTGTGCTTGTCACACAAAAAAATTGTTTTCCTCGATCTCGTTACAAGATAAAAATTATTATTTTACAGTTAGAAAAGGTCTATATACATAACATCATACATTACAAATATATACAAAAATTATGTGTATGATAATAGTATTTATATACTATAATTCTTTGCATATTTATAATGTATAATAATTTATGCTGTTCATACATTTTTGTAATGTATAACTAATTGTTTAAAATATTTATAGTTACAAATATGTACAAAATGGTAGTTATAGGTATACACAAAAATTATGTGCACAGTAATAATTATTACGTGTATATTAAATTGTATGTGGTATATGCATATGTAAATGTAAATGTACATACTATAATTTCCTTATAAATATGTATATTTATAACACATCAGTCTATACGGTTATACAGTTGTATACAGGGTGTCTCACAATTAGTGTAGGTCCCTGTACAACACACAATATAATTATTATAAAATTTAATCAACCTATACATTACAAAAAACAGTATTCTACATACTACAAAAAAGTCCCCATAAAACATGCCTCAATTTAAACTTGCAAAAATGTGCCCCTAAAAATATAATAAATCCAACCTTTCCCCTGTCTTGCGCCAACAAGAAAATGATTTATCTTGAAAAAAATAAAGTGAGGTAAAAAGAAGAGAAACAAAGATGAATTTGAAACAGAGATTCAAATAAATGGATCCATCGAAATAAAAAAAAGTCCATCGAATCGAAATCGGGGATGAAAGTCGTGAAAGTAATCGATGCATAAATTTCGAGGCAAAGGGAATAAAAGGAAAGGAAAAGAACACGGATAAGACACGTAAGAAAAGAAAGGTAGTAAGCAGAATCGAGTGGGTTACGTAAATCAAGGGGTGCGCCTTGTGATCCCTCCGCCCCTGTCCGTAAGATTTCTATCACTGCTGGTGTTTTATCGAGCGGTTCTGTGGCATGGTCTACCTTCGACCTTAAATTACAAGGTCGTCGGTGAAACCTAGAGAAGTATAGATGTTTCGTATAAATCGTTGAACGAACGAAATCCGAACGCCATTGAACATATTTATGAATGTTTTTGAATTAAATATTTTGCTGGGTGGTGAATTGAAGATTAGGGTGGGTTTGTAAGGGGTTGATGAGTAGGTTATTATTTTAGTTTTTGGAAGATTCAGTTTTGAAATTTTTCTTTATTTGTAATTTAGTATATTTTCAGATTTTGGTATGGATGATTCATACTTCTTATTTTTGATATTGAGGGTGCTGAAGTTGGTAAATGGGAATTCTAGATGTGTAGTGAGAGTTTCTGAACTTTGTAATTGTACAGTGGTGAAATTGTAAAATTCTATGATTTAAAAATTTTGGGATTTCAGAACTTTACAACCCCCAAATCTTACAATCCCAAAATTCTAGAATTCTAGTATTTTGCAACCCCAAAATTATACGATTTGAGAACTCCATCATCCCGAAATTCTACGATGTCAAAATTCTACAACCCCCAATTTCCACAAACCTAGAACTTTACAATCCCAAAATTCTATAATTCTAAAATTTTGCACCCCCAAAATTTTACGATTTGAGAACTTCATCGCCCCAAAATTCTATGATTTGAGAACTCCATCGCCCCGAAATTCCACAAATCCTAAATTCTACAATTTGAGAACTCCATCACCCCAAAATTCCACAAACCCCAAATTCTACAATTTGAGAACTCTATCACCCCGAAATTCCACAAACCCCAAAATTCTACGATTTGAGAACTCCATCACCCCAAAATT